CCCTGCATCTGCAGGCTGGGCCACGGGGAGTAGTTCCCTCTTAGAGCTGTCCTCCACCCACAGGGGTAGTGAACCTCCTTCTGGGTCATATCCCACCAAGCTTTTTGGTCCCCTAGAGTGGGCCTTGCCTACTCACTTGTAGCCTGTCCAGTCTTTGAAGCCCACCAGGTAACTGGTGGTATGGGGCAGTGAGTGCTTCTAGCCCATCCTTGTCAGTAGGTGAATCCCCACTACGACAGCACCTTCCTGTTTGACAACGACTTCCCAGCTCTGCAGCCTGATGCCCCCAGTCCAGGTAACCTGGCTCCAACTGCTGTTGGGGAGGAGGGTGGCTAGACCTCTTGAGGGACTTCTGCTGCAGAGAGTCATACTCCTTTACCTCAGGACCCAGTGATCATCCCCTTTTCCAAGCAAAGGCTGCTCGAGGAGTCTGGTAACTATGGATTTCCCCTTACAACTTTCAAACCAGGGTTGGAGACTCAGCACTGGGGCTGGGCCCTGCCCATAGCAGAGCCAAGCCCTACCTCTCAGTTATCTTTACCCCCCTCACCACCCAGTAAGGTCATGTGCTTCCACCCCTGGTCGGATGTAACGCTGCCACTCATGTCGGTCCCTGAGATCCGGGCTGTTGTTGATGCATGGGCCTCAGTCACAGAGGAGCTGGGTGCCCAGTACCCTTGGGTGCAGGTTTGTGAGGTCGCCCCTTCCCCTGGATGGGCAGGGAGGGGGTGATGAAGCTTTGGTTCTGGGGAGTAACATTTCTGTTTCCACAGGATGTGGTCAGGAGGGAGCTGACTTGGTGTCTTTTGGGTAACAAAGCTCCCTATCCCTATCTGACAGATCTTTGAAAACAAAGGTGCCATGATGGGCTGTTCCAACCCCCATCCCCACTGCCAGGTAAGGGTGTCAGGGGCTCCAGTGGGTTTCTTGGCTGAGTCTGAGCCAGCACTGTGGACACAGGAACTGGATTAATGGATGGGACAAAGGAAATATGCCAATGATGTGGAGGCTTGGAAGTAAAGGACCTGTCTGTTCTTCTCTGCTTTTGCCCCTTGACAGGTGTGGGCCAGCAGTTTCCTGCCAGATATTGCCCAGCGTGAGGAGCGATCTCAGCAGACCTATAAGAGTCAGCATGGAGAGCCCCTGCTAATGGAGTATAGCCGCCAGGAGCTACTCAGGAAGGTGGGAGAGAGCCAAGCCCTGTGTTCCCAAGGAGTCCCTAACTTTCTTACCCCACGAGAGAGGTGTGTAAAGGAGAAAGCTAGAGGGGAACTAGTAGAGAGAGAGACTTGCTAGGAGGCCTTAGCAATAATCCAGTAATCTAAAGGAAAGATGATGGTGATTTAGACTCGGGTGGTTAGTGGTGGAGGTGGTGAGAAGGCATCAGATTCTGGGCACATTCTTTTCTTCTGCTTCCCCTGCCTATTTGCTGACCCCACCCCAGCTCTTATGTCATCTTGATGACTTCCTGTCCATTCTGCCTGCCTAGGAACGTCTGGTCCTAACCAGTGAGCACTGGTTAGTACTGGTCCCCTTCTGGGCAACATGGCCCTACCAGACACTGCTGCTGCCCCGTCGGCGTGTGCAGCGGCTACCTGAGCTGACCCCTGCTGAGCGTGATGGTCAGTCTCCCAAGTAGGATCCTGGGGCTAGGCACTGGATGGGGGTTGCTCCCAGTAGGGTCAGCATCTGGACCCCAGGCTGAGAGTCAGGCTCTGATTCCAGATCTAGCCTCCATCATGAAGAAGCTCTTGACCAAGTACGACAATCTCTTTGAGACGTCCTTTCCCTACTCCATGGGCTGGCATGGTGAGGCTTTTCAAGTACCTATATCTAGCCCCAACACTATTTCTGGGCCTGGGGCCCAGCCCAGTGAACTGCAACCCCAAAGGAGCAAGCCTTGAAACAGTTGCTGGGGGATGTGGCAAGAGCAGAGATGCTGGGGGGATGTGGCAAGAGCAGAGATGCTGGGACTGAGGGTGGAGCAGCAAACTTGGTGAAAATATGTCTCCAATATGCTTTCTAATCTCCTGCCAGCTCTTCTCAGGCAGGGATCCTGGGAGATGTAGTTTTCAGACACCTGGCTGGGTTTGGGGGTAGGGGCTAAGCTGGATAACTGAAAAAGGGCTCTCTCTCCCCATTATCTCTCTTCTGTCAGGGGCTCCCACAGGATCCGAGGCCGGGGCCAACTGGGACCACTGGCAGCTGCACGCTCATTACTACCCTCCGCTCCTGCGCTCTGCCACTGTCCGGAAATTCATGGTTGGCTACGAAATGCTTGCTCAGGCTCAGAGGGACCTCACCCCTGAGCAGGTCAGGACTCAGAGCAGTCTGGCTTCTCCAGACTCTCACATGCAGTATGTGCAGGCACCTGATACTTCTGTTGCCCTTGTGCTCCAATCATTGCACAAGGCAGAAAACAGCTCTGGCAGGGAAGGCACTGCCAAAGTTAGGAGCCCTAGGGCCTGGAAGGAGAGTATGGTCCTCAGATCTCCTTTCTCTCCTGCTTCCTCCAGGAAGTCATGACCCTGATAGTTCCCATAACAACCTGGGCATTCCTTGGGACTCAGGAGCTGCTCAACTCTTTCATCCCCTGGAGGCTCCAGCAGTCCTTATCACCAGCCTCACAATCCCACAGGCCCACCCCCAGTGGGCCTGTGGCATTCATATTTCATATTCATATTTAAAACCACAATATCCAGCAAAGTATCTTCTGAGCACCCAGAACTCCATACCATTGGCCAGGTGTGGTGGCTCACGCCTTAATCCCAGCACTTTGGGAGGTCAAGATGGGAGGATTGCTTGAGCCCACAAGTTCAAGACTAGCCTGGGAAACATAGGAAGACCTTGTCTCTACAAAAAAAAATTTACAAAGTTAGCCAGGTGTGGTGGCATATACCTGTGGTCCCAGATACTTGGGAGGCTGAGATAGGATCACTTGGGCCCAGGAGTTTGAGGCTGCAGTGAGCTATGATCATGGCACGATGGCATTCCAGCCTGGGTAACAGAGCGAGACCTTGTCTCAAAAAAAAAGAAAAAGAAAAAGAAGAAAAGAAGTCCATACCACCATTCTTGGCAGCCCAGCCCTTATGCTCCTTAATTGCTCCCCTGTCCCTTTTCCAGGCTGCGGAGAGACTAAGGGCACTTCCTGATGTTCATTACAGCCTGGGGCAGAAGGACAGGGAGACAGCAACCATCGCCTGACCATGCCGACCACAGGGCCTTGAATCCTTTTTTTTTGTTTCAACAGTCTTGCTGAATTAAGCAGAAAGAGCCTTGAATCCTGGCCTGGAATTTGGGCAGATATAGCATTAATAAAACTGTGCATCTCAAACTTTAATCACATACTCTAGTATCAGAGAAGTGTGAACCTTCAGAGATACAGGGTTAAAAGCTAAAGGCATAGCTCCGGCTACAACTTTTCTTTGTTTACAAATGTGTAAAATCTTGATGCAAAAATTCCACCCAAATTTCTGAACAAAATTAATATTCAGTATTACATCTAGCCTATAGATTCTCTTACTCTTGGTGTAATGACAGTATCCCAGTTTAGGAAACTGTTTTAAAATCTTGTGTCTTGGTTGTGGCTGAGGCTTTGGGAAGGCCAGAGCCCCCTTTGCCACCACACCTAGGGTGTCAGCTCCAAGCCTGGGCCTGAGGGTTTGACGGAGAGCGGGTGAGCTAGATCCTGATCCCAGTGGTCAGTGGCCAGATCCTGGGCTGCTGGCCAGAACCGTGGCTTTGTGAGTGGCTGCAGCTTGGCTCTACTCCAGCCCACAGGGGCTAAAGGGGCGGGTAGAGAGCATGTAGGGAGCGTGTACGTGGCTTTGTGTCCTTGGCTCCTCCAGACTCTCACATGTGCGGGCACCATATACTTCTGCTGCCCTTGTGCCCCAATCATTGCACAAACAGGAACAGCTCTGACAGGGAAGGGAATGCTAGAGTTAGGAACCCCAGGGCCTGGAAGGAAGGTATGGCTCTCGGAGTGACCTGGGGTCTATTCTGTCCCCTCTGGACCTGTTTCCCTGGCAATGCTGTGGGAACAACAGTCTATGCAACACAGCAGACCTGATGCCACCTGGGGTCCTCCAAATTTTAAGGTGAAGGCAGGGATTGTGAATGATGCAGGGATGGCCAGAATGGTTTTTACCTTTATTCTTTTCCCAGGGGAACCAAGCCTGTGGGTGGGGAAATCACACTAAGGCTGGACAGTGACTGAATCTGGCCCAGGAGAACCTTGGCTGCCTGCCTTCCAGACCAGGGTCTTTCTTCCCTGAGATCCTGAAGGGGAAGTACCTGGAACTTGGGCGTGTTGCTCCGGTCTGGAAGATCTGATAGACACAGTATGCACACATTTCCCTCGAGCTTCCCGTGACTGGGGAGTAGATGAGAGCCCTGGGTGGGTGGCTGGTTTCTTGAGGTATACATATACCCGACACACCTTACATCTCTGATTTGGCTGCATTTTGGAATCATCTGGGAAGTTTTAAACAATACTGATGTCTAGGTCCAACCTCCAGAGATTATGATTTAATTGGTATGGGGTGGGGTTTTGCAGTTTTCAAACCACAATATCCAGCAAACTTTGAGAACCACTGCCCTACACAGCCCTCCTTCTTCCTTATCTGGAGTCAGGGGCACCTTCAGCTTCTCCAATCACCTGGCCAGTGGCTCTTGTTTCCAGTCCTGCTGTTCCAGGGTGGGTAGGCCTTCAGGCGGAGACCCAGGAATCCAGCTCCAGACTCTGTCCCCGGCAGCCTCTTCAGTCCGAGACGGGACAGGAAGTGTCCGGCGGAGGTGGGGGTGGAGGTGATTGACAGTTGGAGTCTCCAATGGGCCAGGAGCCCCCCTATTTCACTCCTCTCCTTCCATTGGCGTCTGGGCGGAGCCGCCCCCACTGCGGGGGCCCAGGGCGGGAGGGAGTAGAGGCCGGGGCAGAGGGCGAGGGCAGAGGGCGCTGGCGGCAGCGGCCGCGGAAGGTGAGGCCTGGTGTAGACGCCAAAGTCTTGTCACGAGTGGGCGGGGCAGGGTGATGTATGATCTGAAAGGCCGGGAGTGACTGACGACTGTCAGTGTGTGTGTGTGCCTGTGAGTCTGTGTGTGTGTGACAGTATCATTGTGTGCGATTCTGAGTGTCACTTGGTGCAGCTGTCAGCTAATGTGACTGCGTGTGTCAGTGTGCATGGAGCTGGCACTGCATGTGGCTGTGCAAGTGTGGGATTATGTGTGTATCTGTCAATGCACATTTTTGGTGGGACTGGGTTGTGTGTTTGTGTGAGAGGGACTGTGACCACATTAGGGAATGTGTTTTGGGAAGGTCTCTGTGGGGTTTGAGACCATGTCTGCCAGCATGAGAGTGGGTGGCTGGCTTTGTGTGTGCCAATGTGTGACTTCAGCAGTAGCAGAGCAAAAGTGAGGTTTGTGACTATGTGTGTGTGCTGGGTCCTAACTTAAACCGTGTGGGAGTACAGCTGTATTCCTGTATTGGGGGACCTACTTCAAAAGCCCATGGGACTGACCTTTCTCTTAAGAGTCCAGCATGGACGGACACACCCACAACACACGTGGCTTCCCCTCCTTCTTCCTCTGCTCAAGAATCCCCAGCATCAGGTCTACTGCTCCTTACTTTCTGTTTCCCTGCTTGACTCAGTTTCCCTTACATGCCGTTTTCTCTCCCTATTGCTGTCTTACTAGAGATATCTCTGCGTGTTTCTTCATAGCTTTGTTCCCCTGGTCTCTGTGTGGTTGCATTTCCAGTTTTGCCTCTCCTGTCTCTTTGTTTCTCCCTGTGCCCCTATGCCTGCCTTCCCTGCTGATCTTGATCTCTTTGGCTAGTTGGGGGCCTGTAACAGTGATGAGATGCAGGTCTGCCACTGCTAAGAGCTCCCTGAGAGAGGGGGCTTAGACTATGATGAGGAGTTGCTTTTAGGCGGTGCTGTGAGCCCTGGTAGGGGCTGTGTATGTGTGTGACTGCGTGAGTTTATGAATATGTGTAAGTGTATCTGAGTCTGAGGCTGTGTGGCTGTGCCCGTGTGACTGTGAGTGACCGCATTTGAGAGTGTGTAAGTCTGAGGGTAACTGTGGGTCTTGTGTATCTGGCACCAAGGGACCAAAGGCATTTCCTGGTGCTGGGGCCCAAAGAGTGGAGGGGAGGTGAGAAATGGCTGGAACTTCCAGGGGAGGGGGAACTACACTCTTTGGCCTCTCCTTATATCCCCCAACTTGGGGCCTCCTTTCCCCTGGAAGCACAGCCAGCTGTGCCCTAAGGAAACATTTGGTGAGGAGTGAAAAGAGGAGGAGTTTGTATCTGATTTTTCATTTGATTGTGTCCACGTGTGTTCAAAGGCATGCCCTTTTGTTAACTGTGCGTCATGAGTCCATGTGTGAATGTGACTATGTCTGGCTGTGTGAAAATGCAGGGCATCTCTCACTGACAGGGACATAAGTATTAGCCACCCTCCTTTCCCTCTTGCTGGCCTTGGCTGTGTCTGTGGTTTCCTTTCCAGACTTGGGGGAGGCCTCTTCCCTTCACAGGGCCTTGGGTGGGAGGGAAGGAGGGAGGAGGCAGAAGCGGGGAGGGGGCCTGGCTAGGGGTGGTGGAGCTCCAGGGCTTAGAGGGGGCGGGGCAGGGAAGGGGAAGGAGGGGATGGCTTTGGGGTCCCAGAACTGAGTGGAGTAGGAGACGGGGGCTGTAGCTGGTGAGAGGAAGTCCTGGAGGCCATGGACACTCTGCCGCTGGGATCACCGAGGTAGGGTGGGGCTAAGCAGGGTAAGTGTGGCTGGGTGGCCAGGGGTGAGCCAACTGGACACACTCAGACAGACACACAGACACATGGAGGCCCTGCTCTGCTCTACTCCTACTCCTGAAGGGTCCGTGCTCTTCCTCTTCTGGTCTTGTACCCAGAACCCTTTCCCTGCCTGCCCCTTCGTTCTCCATCCACTTCACCACTGCCTTTCTCCTTCTGCTCCCCCTCGTCCAGAATCTCTCTCCTAGCATCCCCCACCTGCAATATAGACACACTGTTAGCTTTTTGAGTTTCCGCCGACCCCAATCCAGTCTTTCCAACACTTCCCACACTGCCCCATCACCTCCTAGTCCTGATCTCTGAGTATCTCTTGGTGCTGTGGCCCCCATGCTTGTTCCTGCAGGCTCCCAGTTCCTCTCAGCCTCCCATCCCCTTCCCTCCCCTCCCCTCCCCGCCACCCTGTCTCCATCTCCATCTGCTGGCTCCTCACCCACCCCCAGCCTCTGGCAGCAGCCAGGGCATCTGGATCTGCTTAACTACACAGCCCCAGCCTGCACCCTAGCCCCATCCAGCTTCACAGACTGGAGACCAACGAAGTGTCAGAGCCAGGCCCAGCTGAGTGGCCCAAGTAGCCAGAGCAAGGAGCCAGGTTCAGGCGAGAAGCCTGGCAGCCAGAGCAGGGGTAGGCCTCAGGATGGGAGTGCCAGATGGGCTCAGATCCATGATGACAGCCTTCCCCCAGGGTGATAAGGTCTGCCCAGGTTAATCAGCGGTGGTGATAAGCCCTGGACCAGGTGGGGGTAAATACCAGAATTCCCAACAGCTGGATTGGAGGGGTTAATGGGAGTGGCTGAGCTGGTGCCAGTGCTTGGTGCCAGGGGTGGGCGCCAAGGGCGGTGGAGGGGGAGTTGCTGGCACAGTCTGTTGCCTCCGGCTTTTGTTCTGGGCCCTAAGCCCAGGACTGAGATGGAGGGTGTGAGGGGGTGTGTGTGTCCGTGTGTGTGTGTGTGTGTGTGTGCACATGCGAAGCACTGGGTATACAGTGGGAAAGGGGACCTCAGGTCAGTTCCCCCAGTGATTTCTAACAGCCTTACCCCACTTGGTGCATCAATTTTTCTCTAGGAAGGCTCAGTTTTGGAGAGGAAGAGCCAGGCTTTAGCCTCCCTTCTCAGGGGTCGGGGATTTCTGACTCTACCTCTCCCCACAGATGAGCAGCGGCCGCTCAGGGCTGAGCAGGGTCCTGGTGGCCGTGGCTACAGCCCTGGTGTCTGCCTCCTCCTCCTGCCCCCAGGCCTGGGGCCCCCCAGGTGAGAAGAACCCTGCTGTACAACCCCCCAACTCTGACTTGTGACTTGCCACCCTCACTGTGGCCCCTTCCCATGCCTAACTTGTGACACCACCGCTGCCCCTGTCATCCAACCTAGGTCCCCCCTCTACCCTGTTCTCTGACCTCTGTCTCCAGATTATAACATGATGCTTTGATCCAGTGAGCCCCCCACCACCCAGGTTTTAACAGTCTGCTTCTTATCTGCCATTCTTACAAAGTGGGGAGGGGGGTAAAGGAAGAGCCTCACCTCAGAAGTGCCCTCCACAGGGGTCCAGTATGGGCAGCCCGGCAGGTCCGTGAAGCTGTGTTGTCCTGGAGTGACTGCCGGGTAAGTGCCCCCTGCCTGCTGGTCCTGACACTCATGACCCTTTCTTGACTCTGCCTAGTCCTCATGTCCCGCCCCTCCCATCCTTGCCTGCTCTGTCCGTAATCCTCACCTCTCTTATCTGTCCTAACCCTCTAACCATCCTTATTCAACGGAAAATTCAGCTGGTATGCTTTGAGCACCTGCCAAGTGCCAGGTCTATTCTAGGCTCTGGGATACAGCAGTGCTAATGCCAGGCAAGGTGCCTGCCTTCACGGAGCTTACATCTTAGTGGGGAAGACAATAAGCAAAGGAGAATCTTGCCAGATAGTAATACCTGCAGGGCAGAAAAGCCAAAGAGAGGGATGTTAAAGAGGACAACTGAGTGGTTACCTTATTTATTTATTTATTTTTTTGAGACAGTCTCACTCTGTTGCCCAGGCTGGAGTGCAGTGGTGCAATCTGGGCTCACTGCAACCTCTGCCTCCTGGGTTCAAGTGATTCTCCTGCCTCAGCCTCCCAAGTAGCTGGGATTGCAGGCACGCATCACCAGGTCCCGCTAATTTTTTTGTATTTTTAGTAGACACGGGATTTCACCATGTTGGTCAGGCTTTGAACTCCTGATTTAAAGTAATCCACCCGCCTCAGCCTCGCAAAGTGCTGGATTACAGGCGTGAGCTACTGCGCCTGGCCCGTGGTTACTTTTTAATTGGTAGTTAGGAAACGTCTCTCTGAGGAGGTGATGTTGAAGCTGATTTCTGAAGGTCAGGAAGGAGGCAGCCGTGCGCACATTAAGGTATAAGTGCTTCTGACAGGGAACAGCTAGTGCAAAATGCCCTGAGGTGGGAATGAGCTCAATACTCACAAGGAATAGAAAGAAGACCAATGTAGCTGGAGTTTTCAGTGGGTGAGGGGGAGACAGAGGAGCTGAAGAAGGAAAGGAAGGCAAGGGCTGGCTCACAAGGGGCTTTGAAAGCCAGTAAAAGGAATTTGGGTTCTATTGCAAATGCAGTTAGAAGCCAATGGAGAGCTGTGGCATGGTCTGACTTATGCTTGACATCTTGTCTTTGTCCATTGTCACCTCATCTTACTTCCAGGGACCCAGTGTCCTGGTTTCGGGACGGGGAGCCAAGGCTGCTCCAGGGACCTGACTCTGGGCTAGGGCATGAACTGGTCCTGACCCAGGCAGACAGCACTGATGAGGGCACCTACATCTGCCAGACGCTGGATGGTGCACTTGGGGGCACAGTGACCCTGCAGCTGGGCTGTGAGTTGGGGAGGGTGGCAGTGATGACACAAGAGGATCCTGAGGGAGTATGGGACCTGAGTAAGCCCTCTGGGACCAGGAGGACCTGAGGACTGCTCAGTCTCCAGGTGTACCCTCTGCCTCTAGACCCTCCAGCCCGCCCTGTTGTCTCCTGCCAAGCAGCTGACTATGAGAACTTCTCTTGCACTTGGAGTCCCAGCCAGATCAGCGGTTTACCCACCCGCTACCTCACCTCCTACAGGTGTGTGCGTGATCGGGTGTGGATGCCTACACATTTGGGTATGCTGGCACAACATGGGTGTGGGAAGCAGGGAGGTAGGTTCTGAGGAAAGCCTCAGAGAGGGCAAAAGGCCCTCTTTTCCTTCATGACTTCAGACGTCCCCCTCCCCACCAGGAAGAAGACAGTTCTAGGAGCTGATAGCCAGAGGTAGGACATGAGGGAGCATGTGAGGGCTCCAGCTGGGTCCCACAGTAGGCATTTTCAGAGCCCAAGACCATGTCCTCCCTTCTAGGAGGAGTCCATCCACAGGGCCCTGGCCATGCCCACAGGATCCCTTAGGTGCTGCCCGCTGTGTTGTCCACGGGGCTGAGTTCTGGAGCCAGTACCGGATTAATGTGACTGAGGTGAACCCACTGGGCGCCAGCACACGCCTGCTGGATGTGAGCTTGCAGAGCATCTGTGAGTACCCACCCCTAGACCTCCCCTAGCCCCCCATCACAGAGACCCCAAATGGACTCAGATCTCTCCACTCCTAGAGATCCCAAACAGTTTCCTCCCAACATAGACGCCATTTCACACACAGAAGGCCCTGTGGAGCCTGAGAAGGCAAAGGGATCAGAGCCCAGGAGGCATGGTTATTTCAGCACACACTCTAGAGGCCGCTACTGCTACCCACACTGCCTGACTGGCTGCCTAGCCGCAGAGCAGGCCCTGCTCTGGGCCCTGTACTGAATGCAGCCATATGTCATGTCCTGCCTTGCTAACCCCTCCTTCCTTGACCTGTGCATGGGAGTGGGACACTAAAACTCTAGCTGGAATTTGGGCCAATTCATCTTCCTTGGATGAAATAAGAATTGCTCTTTTATTCACTCAACAAGCATTTCAAAAGCCCACCCACAGATCTCAGGTGGTTTCTTTTTTTCTTTTTCTTCCTTTTTTTGTTGATATAGGGTCTTACTTTGTGCCCAGCCTGGATGAAGTTCAGTGGCGTGATCTTGGCTCACTGCAGCCTCCAACTCCTGGGCTCAAGCTATCCCCTTACCTCAACCTCCCAAGTAGTTGGGATTACAGGCATGTGCCACCATGTCTGGCTAATTTTTAAAATTTTTTGTGGAGACAGGGTTTTGCTATGTTGCCCACACTGGTCTCAAACTCCTGGCATCAATTGAACCTCTCACCTTGGCCTTTGAAAGTGCTGGGATTACAGGCATGAGCCACCACACCCGGCCTCAGCCCATTTCATAATACAGATGACCGGTCTGAGTCTAATGAATGATCAAGTTTAAGATTTCCCCTCCCCTCTCAGGAGTGTCTGGCTAAGGCTCCTTTAAACACACACTTTGGAAAGTGATAGGGAAGTGAGGGGGACCCATAGCCTACCCTGACTTTGTGTCTTGACGCCCTTAGTGCGCCCTGACCCACCCCAGGGCCTGCGGGTGGAGTCGGTACCAGGTTTCCCCCGACGCCTGCGAGCCAGCTGGACATACCCTGCCTCCTGGCCGCGCCAGCCCCACTTCCTGCTCAAGTTCCGTTTGCAGTACCGTCCGGCACAGCATCCAGCCTGGTCCACGGTGAGGCCTGGAGTGCGTCCCAACCCGCGGCTGTGGGTCCTATCTCTGATTTCATGATCCTGGGTGTTCTGTGTAGCTTCCCAGCGCTGGCAGGTCACTGAAGACCCAACACTTCCCTGTGGGCCAGGCTTTGTACTGGGTGCTGGGTTGCAGTGGTGACTGACAGACAGAGTGTCTGTCCTGTGGGGCTATAACTAAGATGTGAAGCCCATCTGTGGGAAGATAGCAATGGCTTTTTTTAAAAAATCACTTTTTTTTTTTTGAGAAGGAGTCTCGCTCTGTCACCCAGGCTGGAGTGCAGTGGCATGATCTCGGCTCACTGCAACCTCCGCCTCCTGGGTTTAAGCAATTCTCCTGCCTCAGCCTCCTGAGTAACTGGGACTACAGGTGCCTGCCACCATGCCTGGCTAATTTTTGTATTTTTAGTAGAGACGGGGTTTCACCATATTGGCCAGGCTGGTCTTGAACTCATGACCTCATGATCCGCCCACCTCGGCCTCCCAAAGTGCTGGGATTACAGGTGTGAGACACAGTGCCCAGCCTAAAAATAACTCTTAGGAAAAGGAGTGCCTTACCTAGAGGCACGTCTCCTACAAACACTCATATCCCCAGCTGAGGATAGCAGTGAATTAGAATCTCAGGAGATGTTAAAAGTTGGCTGGTATCAGGACTGGGGAGCAGCAGCATCAGATAATAACTAATATTTACTTAGTGCTGCCTTCCTGTGGGGTTCCTGGCTACACTTTTTGCATACATTGTTTTGTTTAGGTATATTCACCTCTATTTTACAAATGAAGAAACTGAGTCACAGAGAGGCCCAAAGGGTCATTCAATATGTGGTTCACCAAAGATTTGAACCCAGGCTGCCTGATGCCACAGCCTCTCTAAGTAATCACTACTGTTGTCTTACAAACACTAGGTGTAGACTCAGCCCCACCAGACACCCAACATGAGACCTGGACAGCTCCACTAGGCTTCAGGATGAGACTGGGAGCAAGGGGTGCTCTTTGCAGATGGTAGCTGGGAATGCCCTGCACTTACAAGCTGGGTAACAATGAGTCATGTTTACCCCCAGGTGGAGCCAGCTGGACTGGAGGAGATGATCACAGATGCTGTGGCTGGGCTGCCCCATGCCGTACGAGTCAGTGCCCGGGACTTTCTGGATGCTGGCACCTGGAGCACCTGGAGCCCGGAGGCCTGGGGAACTCCGAGCACTGGTGAGAGACAAAGCCAAAGAAAAGGGCAGAGGCCCCACCCCAAAGCATCTATCAGCTGAACCAATTCCAAAAGACAGCCAGGTGACATATGCCCTGCCCATGCAGGCACCGCAGTTACTGTCCCAGACTTCATTCTTGTTTGCCTACAGCCCTGTCTTAGCTTAAGTCCTTCCCCTTGGCCTCCACCCCTGCAGTTACAGGCTCCACTTCTACAAGCTTGGAGCTTGCGATGCTTCCTAGGAACTGGCCATGCCCTATCAGGCTCCTCCTCCTAGGAGGGTTGACTTCCAATCTAGGCCTTGGCCTTGAGCGCAGGACGTGACCCCCATCCCCACCAGCGTATGGACACTTATTGTGTCTTGCCTTCCTTTAGGGACCGTACCAAAGGAGGTACCAGCTTGGGGCCAGCTACATATGCAGCCAGAGGTGGAGCCTCAGGTGGACAGCCCTGCTCCTCCAAGGCCCTCCCTCCAACCACACCCTCGGCTACTTGGTGAGCTTGGGCAGATGGGCAAGAGTTGTAAAGGAGTGAAAACCCCAGAGAAAAGGGGACACCAAGCTTGGTCAGCCTTGCTCTCAGTAACATGTGGCCCTCCCTCTTAGATCACAGGGACTCTGTGGAGCAGGTAGCTGTGCTGGCATCTTTGGGAATCCTTTCTTTCCTGGGACTGATGGCTGGAGCCCTGGCACTGGGGCTCTGGTAAGTGACTGCCATCGGTCCCTCAGCCTCTGATCCTCACAAATGCTCTGATGTCCATAGACCACATTCATCTCCACCCTTCATGACTGCCCACTGAACCTGTCTGATTCTGGAACTACCTCCCCACACCTCCATCCCCCATGCCCCACTTGATTTTAACTGATTCCTCTCCTGACCCTTTACTAATAAACCCTTTGGAGGAGACTGAGATACCCCACATTATTGGAGAGACAGCTACCTTTCTATGCCCCAGGCTGAGGATGAGACGGGGCGGGAAGGATGGATCCCCAAAGCCTGGGTTCTTGGCCCCAATGATTCCAGTGGACAGGCGTCCAGGTGAGTAGGATATCCAGGAGATTTGTACTTGGATATGTGTGCCCCTATTTTGAGTGTCCAGATTAAAAGCTGGCTGCCCTAGTCATTTTTAAAATGCTGGGAATCCAAGTTGGGTCTCCTCCTTTTAATGATGTCTAGGCTGAAGGCTAGGCCTTTCATTCTTGAGTCCCTGGGCTAAGAAGTGGGTCACTTCCCCTTTTCTCAGGGTACCGAGGAAGGACCCCAGATGGACTCTCCTCCAGGGTATTAGTATTAATACTCCTCCAGGGTATTAGACTCAGAGCTGGATATTCGTCCTTTTTTTTCCAGGTGTCTTGGATCAGTGCTGGGTCCCCTCCCTCATTCCTAATGTGCCTGGGCCCACAGCTAGGTCCACTCCCTTATCTTCAGCGTGTTGAAGAGGCTCCCTCAGAGCTGGGCTCCTCTACTCATCTTCAGAGTGTTAAACTTAGAACTGAGTCACCTCCTTCATTCTCAGGGTGTCTGGGCCAAGATCCAGTCCTACTGTCTTTCCTGATTTGCCTCCTGCTTCTTTTAGGAGCTCCAAACCTATAGAGGACCCAGGAGGGCTTCGGCAGAGTCCACCTATAATTCTGTCTTGCTGGTGTGGATGGATGGACAGTAGATCCCTATGGTTGGGTCTCAGCTGGAAGTTCTGTTTGGAGCCCATTTCTGTGAGACCCTGTATTTCAAATTTGCCAGCTGAAAGGTGCCTGTACCTCTGATTTCACCCCAGAGTTGGAGTTCTGCTCGAGGAATGTATGTAATGTGTACATCTGTGTCCATGTGTGACCATGTGTCTGTGAGGCAGGGAACATGTATTCTCTGCATGCATGTATGTAGGTGCCTGGGGAGTGTGTGTGGGTCCTTGGCTCTTGGCCTTTCCCCTTGCAGGGGTTGCACAGGTGTGAATAAAGAGAATAAGGAAGTTCTTGGAGATTGTACTTAGAGATTATTGTCCAATGCTGCTTTATTATTTGGCTATTGGGGGCTTCAGCCCATTTTCCTTAGCATCCCAAAATTCAGGTTGGGCAGAGTCCCGTGGAGCTTTCTCTCTTGGTGCTCAAACCACTGTGACAGGCTGGGGTTCTGGGGGTGGATGCAGATGCTGCGTTGAGCCAGGTGAAGCCTGGGTAGAGAAAGGTACAAAGCTATGGCCATAGTTTGGGGATGAGATTAGGGTCCAGGGGTTAGGAGCAAGGACCAGATGAAAACCTGAGTTGGCATCAGAATTAGCAGTTAGGGCTGGGGTTGGGATCAGCATTAGGGGTTGGGACTGAGGTCAGAGTCAGGGGTATCGGGGTGGGAGCTCACACGAAAGCCTGGAGATGACAGTCCCCATCAGCCTCCTGCAGTTCCACCCGGATGACCTTCCTCAGTAGCTTGTCTGAGAGTGGCTTTCGGTAGAGCTGAGTACAGCAGGCAGTGCTGGGTGGCAGTAGGAATGCTAGAGGGCAACAGGGCCATGTGTTCAGAGGGATCCTGACCAAGAACCTCTCTGCCAGACAGCTGGAGGTTAGGTTTGATTTCCTGGGTCTTTTCAACTTCATCCCATTCACCCAGACCCCCAGCTTTCTATACCCCTAAGTACTCACCTGCTGTAGGGTCTGGGCTCAGGAGCAATGACAGGAGCAGGAGACTGCAGAAGGTTGAGGGCCCCTTCATGTTTGCTCAGCCTAGACTCTTCCTTCTCTCTCTCTCCTCCTCCCCTACCTTTTATCTGGGTGCCTTTTACCTGGGGCACTAGGTGAGTCAGAGGTGGTTGGAGATGTATTGTGTATCCTGTGACATTCCTGGGCCCTAATTCTTGGTCTGTTGCCACAGATTCCTTCCTCATCTAGGACAGCCATTTCCCATGTGTTCCTAAGCTCTGGGCAGTGAAGCTGAGGGAAGGATTAGTGTGTGATGTAGGGACTGATAGAACAGTGAGTAAGGGCAGTCAAGCATCCACAGCAACCTCTAATGATAGACATTCACACTCAAATATGCATAGCCACACATTCGAAGTCACTCCTCAATCACTCGGTCAACCTCACAAAGTCTTACTCGTGATCAGACAACCATAGACAAAATTATATAGCCCCAGTTATACTCAAAGTCCCAATCCCACCCAGTTGTGTTTTCACAGTCATCCAATCACAAGCAAATTCACACTAGCACACACAGATTCTGATAGGGGAGTTCTGGGTGGGGTGGGAGCAGAGGGCAGGCGAGCACCAGCTTGCCTTCATCTTCTCCTCCCCACTTCCTGGCCTGACCTGACTGTCTTATCAGGAGAAACTGATGGGAATGGGTTCCTAGAGCAGGCTCTTCTGGCTGAGGAGGGGTCTTGGCTGAGGCCAGCCACATTCAGAGAAGCTGGGGGAAGGCCCTTTTTGGTAATATTGAGGGTGCTTTGGAGATGCTGAGGTGTGGCAGCTTTCCCCAGGATGATGAGACAAGGAGGAAGGGTGGGGTAGATAAGGAGGGAAGATAAAAGCTCTTTGGTGCTAGGTTACTGTTGTCAAAACAGGTAAAAGGCCCAATGAATCTTACCTTCCTGTTTTTGTCTAGTCCTGTTCCAGGAATGCCAACCTCTTGCCAGCAGGGGCCTGGGGTCTCCAGATCCAGTCCCTGACTTGTTGAAGACATTAGACTCAAGTACTCAATTACCTCTTTGTTCTACTCAAATTCCAGCCTCCTTCCTGGGCCTGGAGGAACATCCCCCCTCCCTACCTAGGTTCAGTCACACCCTCATGTCCAACTCCTATACCTCCCTGCATCCCACCCTCCAGCTATAGCCACTTCTCTCCTAATCCCATACCCAGCTGTTCTTTACCCCCTCCCTCAATGCAAAGCTCCTATCCATCCTTATCCAGTCCTTTCCAGGAAGCTGGGAACTGCCTAGGGTGGGGGTATGCTGCCAAGTTCAGTGCCCCTGGCTCCTTGAAGAATTTCCCACTCCTCGTCCAGGGATCTCAATCTGCAAGTCCTGCTCTATATTTGAAACATAAACTAAGTCATAAAGCAGTAATCCAGCCCTTATCTTGTTGCAGTCGTCTGTTGTAGGGTCAGCCACTCTCTATGGAGTAGGCTTTCTCTTGGGATAGGGCTTAGGCCTTTCTCTTGCGCTCCAAGGCTTGGGTGTAGCCACTGAGGAAATCCCAAGGTCTTATCAAAGACCTTCTCCATCAGTTGGCTGTGCGATACATACTTTGTGGTCTTTCCTGGACTTGTTGGTCCAGAGGCCTTCGGAAGGCAGAAAGCAAATGCTTCTGGGTGTGCCCACCTCTCCCCTTTAAGACCAAGTCTTCTCCCTAGCCAAAATCTGCAGTAGCAGGAGTAGCTGCAGGCTGAAAGCTTTGGCCCCAGCCAGAAACCGGGCTGTCTCTTTCTTTAACTTAATCTTGTGGTGCCCTTTCTGGTGCTGGGTCCAGTCCCTAACTGAAGGTAGGCCCACATAGCAGCCTCTGATTCTCATCACTTGAGTTAGTGGGTCCCAGACTGATTGGGTGACAGAAAGGGGCGGCAGAGAGCAGTGGCCCTTGGACTCTCCTAGGGAGGGAGCAAGAACTGCTAGGTAGGCTGATGCCAAGGATCTCTAAACTTGGGATCAGACTGGAGGAGCCAAAAGTTGGGGTATGAACTGTAGGAAAGGTCACCAACCCAAGTCCCTCCTCTGTGGCAGGCAGCTTCTAGGAATCTCCCCCTCTTCTCATTTACAGCCTGCATCCTATACCTCTGCTTAAAATGTTTGAGATACACTCCCAGCAGAGAAGATTCTTCAGACAGTTGGCAAAGTCCTGGCTCGGAGGAAGGGAGTAACAGGCAGAATTATTTAGTTCTCTTCATATAGGCTATTCACAGTATGGGGTTTTGGGGCTTGGGGTTGGGGGAGACAGTCATTGATAGTAACAGGAGGCCTGACACTGATGAGGGGCTTTGACATGGAAGGGCACCCTTTTAGGGAGGGACGTCCTATCAGTACGGAACAGAGCCAGTGTGGGGAGGGGCGCTCGGCTCGAATGGCGACAGCGGCGGCAGAGTCAGGAGGTCAGTACGGTGGGCTTCGGTTTAAATCTTTAATGCACTGGCTGGCTGGGCAGCGGCGGTGGGGCTGCGGCGGGGGAGGCTACGACCCGAGCGCTGGGGAGCAGGGCCCAGGCCGCTGGACAGACAGCTCATCAGGCCTCGCAGAGGCTCCAGCTTCTGCTCCCCGGGGTGCGCCGAGCTGTGGGGCGACCCGACACTGGCATGAGGCGGGGCGGGAGCTACCGGAATCCCCCCGATGGGTCCTCAGAGACTGAGTCTCGTCCATGCCCGGGGCTGGCCCGCGGTATCGCAGCCCCCTCACCTCCGCTCCCTCCGCCACATGCGCAGCCAGGGGAAAAAGTAGAAACAGCCCCAGTAGATCCTGCAGAGAGAGGGCAGAGGCGGGCGGGGCGGGGCGGGGCGGGGCGGGGCGGAGCTGACCCCACAGACTCCGCCCCACGGCGCCTCGCCCTCGAGGAAGGCTCCGCCCCGCCCCTAAAATCGGCCACCCTTCGCAGCCCACGCCCCTCGGAGGCTCGCCCCGCCCACCCCTCGCCCCCGCAGAACTCCACCCTCCCCCACCCCGGAGCCGCCTGGTTCCTCCTCCGCAGAACCCGCCTCCACTCACTCCTCCTCCGCCTCCAGCGCCACTTCGTATCTCCTCATTCCCGACATGTCCTGGGCTCCGAACGTCTCCTGGGGAGCGGCATGATTGAATCAGGGATTCCCTAGCCCCAGGTCCCCTTCTCCGTCATGCTCAGGACGAGGCTGCCCAGTTCTCAGGTAATCTGAGGCCGATGCCCCCGGGAAGCCTCAGTTGCCACCACGGGACAGGGTGGGCTTGGAGATTTGGGAGGCACTGGAAGTTAAGGGGTGATGAGGCCGGTCATCTCCGGGGCCTGGGGCATTTAGGGGGCCAGGGCGAGAGGTTTGGCGGTCATGGGGCTGGGAGATTTGGGGCCCTGGGTGAGGATTTTCAGGGGCTGGGGTCACCTGGAGGGGGGGCTGAGAGGGGTCAGCGCAGCCTAAACTCCCGCCCTCCCTGGCTCCACCCCGGAAACGGACCGTTACCTTTACGTCACAGGGATGCCGTCGCGCACTAGATTTGCCTTTCCCCCGGAAGGGGTGGGGTCTGCATGTCTCCCAGAGGAGGCGGAGTCGAAACGTCATCTTAAGGGGTGAGGCCAGGGGAGCAGTTGGTTGTTTAAGATGCGGGCAAAAGACCCTCTTTTATCGGTGTGGAGTCAAGTTTTGGAGCTACACCTTGGGAGGCCGAGGCTTCCGCACCAGGCAGCAAGAAAAGAGGGTTGGGACTCAGTCCAGTGCTGTTTTCCCAATCCCCACGTCTCCTCTACCCGTCCCTGACTTCTGCCCTGCCAAGTGCCTCTCTTGCCTGCCGAGAGAGGTCTTGTATGACCCTGGGCTGAGAAGGAATAGGTCCTCAGAGAGAGTCCAGTCTAGAAAAGGCCAGGCTACGGAAATACCTGGTTGAGTGGCCTCAGCTAAGCCACTGAATGTCCAGAGGGTCATTGCCCTTCCTCTCTGGCCTGAGACCTATCTTCCTGTGATATGTTTTTTTTCCCTACAGTCATTCAATCAACAGATATTTGCTGAATGACCATCTGTGTGTCAGGCACTGTGCTGGGCATGAGAATGTAGTAGTAAAGAAGACAGGTGACTGGGCGCGGTGGCTCACGCCTTTTAATCCCAGCACTTTGGGAGGCCGAAGTGGGTGGATCACAAGGTCAGGAGTTCAAGACCTGCTTGCCAAGATGGTGAAACCCTGTCTCTACTAAAAATACAAAAATTAGCTGGGCATGGTGGCAGGCATCTGTAATCCCAGCTACTTGGGAGGCTGAGGCAGAGAATTGCTTGAACCTGGGAGGTGGAGGTTGCAGTGAGCTGAGAGCGTGCCACTGCATTCCAGCGTGGGCCACAGAGCAAGACTCTGTCTCAAAAAAACCCAAAAAAACAAAAAAACTCCACAAACAACAAACAAGACAGGCACCTTCTCTGCCCTCTGAGAGGTAGGGGTAGAGCTGGGAGGATCAAAAGAGAATAGTCAGATTCTTACAATAAATGGGGCAGACTGGCGGGAAGAAGTAGAACGTGCCAAGAAAGGGCAATTAACCCAGTGTGGGAGGTTGGAAATAGCTGCCCCAGACCTCTAACATCCCAGTCAAGGCCTGATACTGAGCCGTAGTTGGTTTGAGTAAGGGGAAAGACAGTCTTGGGGCTAGGCCGACTGTATAGGAGGGAGTGACCAGAAATAAGTGGGGTGAAAGTTTCCTCTGGTTGAAATGTGAGGAATGGATACCTGTCTTCTCTCACCCATGTCACCCTCTTTCTCCCTCTCATACTTGACTTCCCCTACCTGAGCCACATACAGATAGCAAGACAGATTCATAGGTGCTAGGTGGTTTTATTGGAAGCACTGCAGTCTGGGAGTTGTGAATCTGTGCTTTTCACAACGTTCACCCTTTCACTCACATTCACACTCACGTTGACACTCCAGGCCTGGCTGGGTCAGGTCTGGTGCCGAGGAACTAGAGGCCTGGTCTTCTCTTCTGGTCCTTTGTTTCCCAGGCCAGGGCTCTCTCTGGCACTCCCATGGCCTAACTGCTGTGGCTCTTGCTCTGGGAAAGGAAGGAGAGAAAGGGCCATGGGCTGTAATCTTAGGTGGGGCTCAGAGGGGGCAGACAGGACTGGGGAGGGCCAGGCTTGCCTTGGCAGAGGTCTTCTGCAGTCTCCAGATAGTACAATCCATCCAGGGCTGGTCTAGAGGCTGCCTCTCAGTGTGGTGAATTTAGAGTCAGAGAGAATGGAGCCATAGAACTCATCTTCCTGAAAGGCCCTGGTGTGAGGGGCAGATGCTGGGGACCACATCTGGGAACCTGTTTTAGGGGATTCCTTGTGGGAGGGATTGGGCAAGGAGAAGTGAAGGAAGTAAGATGGTGAATGGAGACCTGGATGATGGAGGAAGTGATTGGGAGGGGAGGAGACTGGACATTCTCCACCCCAACTCATAGGACAAAGTGCCCTGCAGCCATCCCTGAAGAGGAGGTAGCAGAAGGCACCAAAAATGTCCCCAGGAATTGGGTGTTGATTTGGTAAGAGGCAGAGTCCTCAGAATTGTTGATATCACCCAGAGCTAGGGAGTGAGTATTAGCTTTAGGGCTTAAGATGGGAAGGCCACAGCCCTGACTGGAACTTGGGATATCTGTGTCCAGAGCTTTAGTGTTGCTCTCTACTCCACCCACATGCACTGTTCTCTTCTTCCTCTGGGAAGACCAGGCTAGAGAGACAGAGCCTATAAAGAGAAGAGCAGCCAGATGGCTCCAGGACCCATCCAGGCACTGATGTATACAGGAACAGCTGGGGTACAGGTACATCTATATCACACAGGTGCACACAAAGGCATACCCACACCACACAGGCACACACATAGACTGCAAAGGAATACACACAATGCACAGGTATACCCATGTCACACAGGATGTACAGTCATCACAAGGGCACATCCATTTGGCATATGTACAGTCTCAGGTTCCTACTTGGACCTGGATGTTGACATTGTGAAAGGAGAATGAATCTCAGGACCCCCAAATCATTAAGCCAAGGAGAAAGTCAAGCTAGGAATTGTGTCAGGCAAACCTGCCTCTCATTTTATTCCTAAGAGAGATAACTACAAAGATAAAAAAAACTACTTACCTCCCTCACAATTGGTCCACAGGGAAATTCCTTGTGGGCCTCAAGATCTTTACCTTAAGACAGTTGTGTTGAATTTCACCCTGACAATGTAAACTGATAGCTTATCTTCACAGGTGCAGTACAATGGACAGATCGCAAAGTCATCCCTCTGCTCACCTGAGACAAATGCATATCTAATTGCTTCTTATGCCCTATTGTTTATGCAAAAATGCAGATTCACTGAGCCAGACTAAGGCATCAGTGTGACTATTCCTTTACTCCCCACTCCATGTAAATTGTGTGTTCAGTGAAAGATTGATCAAAGACCCAAAAGAATGCAGCCTTTTGTCTCTTATCTACCTATGACCTGGAAGCCACCACTTCGAGTTGTCCCGCCTTTCCAGACTGAACCAGTGTAACACCTTACAGGTATTGATTGATGTCTCATGTCGCCGCAAAATGTATAAAACCAAGCTGTGCCCCGACCACCCTTAGCATGTGTTGTTAGAACCTCCTGAGACTGTGTCATCTCATGAGTGTGTGCTCAACCTTGGCAAAATAAACTTTCTAAATTGATTGAGACCTGTCTCAGATACTTTTGGGTTCACAACATGAACTCAGCTTCCTTTACAGACTCCGTGAGACCTGCGTGTTGATCCCTGCTATGCCCCCTCACCTTACCGTTTAACCCCTGCCCCATTTTACTCACTCCTGGCAAGAAAACCAGTATGCCGAGAAGAGGAGTGGTGCCACACAGGAGGCCATGGAGGATGAGCAGAGATGGACAAATGAGTAGAGTCCCTGAGAGCAGCAAGAGGCCTTCTGCTTGTGTGGAGTCTGTGAGACTGTGTGAGGTTGGATGGGAAGAGCAAGCAGGAGAGGGATCATGATCATGAGGGCAAGGGAGTCCTTGGAAGACTGAGGGTCAGTGAGTGTGTGTGGATCTGCAGGGGGCTGTGGCTGTCTCCTGTTTATGGCCCCCTAAAACTTTCATTTTCTGTGTTCAGAAACTTCCTCCCCTTCTGGTGTGTAATAAAGAATTTGACTGGCCTTTGTCCCTGGCTCCTGAGAGGGAGACTAAACCTGTGGAATTTCCCAAGTAATAGTGTCTTTGTTACTCATGAGCCCTTTGGAACTCACCTGGGTTTATGCTAAAAGATGAGACGACTCAGGTTAGAGGTTGGTCACCATAAAGACCAACCATGTGATTAGAGGGTTGGGCTTTGGGCCAGGCTGACCTCTGGGGTGGAAGTGGGCGCTAGAGATTGAATTCAGGTATGTGGCCAGTAATTCAGTTATGCTGTTGTAAGGAAATCTCAATAAAAACTCCAGACACCAAAACTCATAAAACTTTCTGGTTGGGCCGGGCGCAGTGGGTCAAGCCTGTAATCCCAGCACTCTGGGAGGCCAAGACGGGCAGATCACTAGGTCGGGAGATCGAGACCATCCTGGCTAACACGGTGAAACCCTGTCTCTACTAAAAAATACAAAAAACTAGCCGGGTGAGGTGGCGGGTGCCTGTAGTCCCAGCTACTCGGGAGGCTGAGGCAGGAGAATGGTGTAAACCCAGGAGGCAGAGCTTGCAGTGAGCTGAGATCCGGCCACTGCACTCCAGCCTGGGCAACAGAGCGAGACTCCGTCTCAAAAAAAACTTTCTGGTTGATGAACACTTTGATGTGCCAGGAGGGTGATGCACCTTATGTCTCCACAGGGAGAAACCACTGAGAAAAGCTCTGCATTTGAGACCCTCATAGACTTCATCCTGTGTGTCTTTTCATTTGGCTGTTTCTGATTTACACCCTTAATAAACTAATTAAACACATCACTTTCCTGAGTTCTGTGAGTCATTCTAGCAAATTATCAAAACTGACAGGGGTTTTGGGAACCTCCCAGACTTGTAGCCAGTTGGCCAGAAATGTGGGTGGCTTGGAGACCCTACTTGTGGCTGGCATCTAAGTTGGGGACAGTCTTGTTGGGGACCTTTCTCTTAAACCTGTGGAGTCTGGGGCTAACTCTCCGTGGCTAGTGTCAGAAGTGAATTGCAGTCCATGAGTTGATAGCAGAATACCTTCCCACTGAATATCTCCCCATCGTTTCTCTCTCCCTTTTTGTGGAGGAAACTTTTCTCTTTCACAACTCTCCTCAGTAGACTGCACCTGTTTTTCACTTTTTGGCTTCAGCTCTGAGAATCTCAGCAATAAGCAGTTTGGACAAGCGTAGGAGAGTTTGCACTATTACCGTTAAGGGAAGATTTGCAAGGTTTGTGATGTTGCTCCTTTAGAGGCATTTGAGCCATCGGTCTCAAGGCTGGGAGTCAGGGTTTGGTTCAAGATTAGGGTCAGAGGTAGGAATGTGTCTCTTCCCTAGGTTCCTCACTGCCAGCTCTTCTCTGTAGTACTAAGACACCTGGGGGTAGGAGGAGTGGGAAAGATGGGACATAGCCACCTCCTAGATTCCCTGAGGACAATCACAGGAGCAGGGAAAGGATGAGAAGGTCCCCTCTCAGATTCTCCAGATCTCCCTAGGCCCATCACAGTGGCTACATATCCACCATCTGAGATCTATTCCTCCCTTGGAAAGTGAAGCTAAAGGGAACGTTCTTTGGAAGCAGGTTCAGCTCCCCTATCTCTCATCTCTGGCCTCTAGGACTTCACCCTCCTGGCCCAGCCAGCACTATCCCTCTCCCTTATTGACCCATTTTCCTGTGCTCCAGAGCTGAGTTAAAATAGCTGGAGGACAACTTGGCCTAGAACACCCCCATTCTCTACTGTAGCTTCCCTATCCTGGAAATTGAGAGGGAGTTTTGAGGAGAGGGTCTGGTCAGCTCACAGAGTAACAGGGAAACAAAGGAAGCAGGCTCACTGTGTACAATTTGTCTGAGTCCAGTGGTAGAACATATCCAACAAGTTATATGAAATGGATTTATTACTTACAGGTAGGCAGCAAGGGAAACAGAGCCCCAGGATTAATTGTGAGGCAGCCCCGAGGCTCAGGAAAGCTGCCCAGGGCAGATGAAGTTTCATCTGCCTATGCTCCACTTGCACTGCAGCCAAGGACTCCAGAAAGCAGCCTGCCTTGGGTTTTATACCCTAGGGCAATGTGACTTCCTAGGCTAAAACATTGAAGGATATTCTGTTTCTGGGGTGGGACTAGAACAGAGCCTGTTCTTTATCTGTTTCTGTCACCTCTTCCTTATCTCAAGATTTTGCATTCCAAGTGAGAAAGGGAGGAGAACTGGGTCAGTGTATAGTCACCCAGAGAACTGTTCTGCCAGACCCAAGAGATAGACCTTTCAGAAGACACTATTGTGGAGTGCTATTCTGTTTCCCATTCCAGATCTAGAGTATATAATAGAGCAGATTTAATTGCCTGTATTTTTCTGCCCCATCCATCCATCCATCATCCATCCATCCATCCATCCATCCATCCATCCATCCATCCATCCATCCATCCATCCATGTGTCTATATGTCCACTCGTCTTTGTCTCTCCATCAGCCAATTCTTCCTTCTTTCACCTATTTTTTCATATGTTCATCATCACCTGGTCATCTGTATGTTCAACCATTATTCATTTACTAATGTTTCCCTTCATTTATTTGTCTCTCAGTTATGGTAGTAATTAACATTCATTGATACTTAAGTGCCAGGCACCATGCTAAATGCTTTAAATTGATTGTCTTATGACAAATCTATGAAGTAGATTTCTGTGGGCTGTTTTTGTTCATGCAGTCCACTTTTCTGCTTTTCCATAACCCTTTTTGTGGTTCCTGTAGGACACTTGTTTCCCACTTAACATGGTCTTGGTGGAGCTGTCAGCTACAGTGCTCTGATCAGAGTACCCCATTTCCTGGCCACTGTGATAGACTGAAGAACTGAGTATGTGTCACAAGTACAGATAACCAGAGTTTTCTATGAGATTTGATGTTTGGATGCCAGGAGAAAGAGGGTCTCTTTTAGATCAATCAATATAAAAATTTAGGCTTGAGGCTTCTAGTGGCCATATTTCTTGCTACTAGAAGAGCACCTGTATCTTAGACCATTTTCTGTTGCTTAAAGCAGAATACCTAAATCTGGCTAATTTATAAAGAAAATAATTTATTTCTTACAGTTATGGAGGCTGAGAAGTCCAAGAGGGTACTTGGACTCTCTTGGACATACCTGGTGAGATCCTTCTTACTGGTGGGGACTTTCTGCAGGGTACTAAGGTATGGCACAGAGCATCACATGGTGAGGGGGCTGAGCATCCTAGCCCAAGTCCCTCTTAGGAAGTCCTTAGTCCCACACCCATGATAACCCATTAATCCATGGATGGATTCATCCATTTATCAAGGCAGAACCCTCATGACCCAATCACTCCTTAAAGGCCCCACCTTTCAATATTGCCACATTGGGGATTAAATTTCTTTTATTTTTAATTTGTTATATATTTTTAAGAGACAAAGTCTCATTCTGTCGCCCAGGCTGGAGTGCAATGGCATGATCATGGCTCACTGCAGCCTTGAACTCCCGGTCTCAGCCAGTTTTCCTGCCTCAGCCTCCCAAGTAGCTGAGACTACAGTTACAGGTGTGCACCACCATGCCCAGCCAGGGTTTAAATTTCAACATGAGTTTTGGAGGGGACAAATATTCAAACCATAGCAACTTTGGGAGGCCAAGGCGGGTAGATCACCTGAGGTCAGAAGTTTGACACCAGCCTAGCCAACCTAGTGAAACCCTGTCTCTACTAAAAATACAAAAATCAGCCAGTCATGGTGGCACGCACCTGCAGTCCCAGCTACTCGAGAGGATGAGGCAGGAGAATCACTCAAACCTGGGAGGGGAAGGTTGCAGTGAGCGGAGGTCGTGACACTGCACTCCAGTCTGGCAACAGAGTGAGACAAAAAAAGATTAGAGAGGTATCAAGGTAAGAGAGGGAGATAACAACATTTGAACCCCTGGATCCAACCAGGGTTGCAGATAATCTCCTTAATGAGAATTTTTTTTTTTTTTTTTTTTTTTTTAAGATGGAGTCTCGCTCTGTTGCCTAGTCTAGAGTGCAGTGGTGCGATCTGGGCTCACTGCGACCTCTGCCTCTTGGGCTCAAGTGATTCTTTTACCTCAGCCTCCTCAGCCTCCTAGCCAGGCTGGGCACCACAGCCTGGCTAATTTTTGTAGATATGGAATTTCACCATGTTGCCCAGGCAGGTCTCAAAGTCCTGAGGTTAAGCAAGCCACCTGCCTCAGCCTCCCAAAGTGCTGGGATTACAGGTGTGAGCCACTGCACCTGGCCTCATACCTAGTTTTGATATAACAAATTTAACTTTTTGCCTAAGCTGCTTTGAATTGGGTTTTTGCCATTTGCAACCAAAGAAGCCCTCAGTAAAAATGACTGTATTATTCTATTTTACAGATGGGGAAACTAAGACCCAGAAAGGTTAATTTTCCCAAGATTTCCCAGTTTATATCAAGCAGAACGCTGGTATTTGGAGCAAAATTCTGCTTTATTACCTATATGTGTCCATCTGCCCATCCATCCATCCATCCATCCATCCCATCCATTTATTTCTCTGACCATCTTTCAATGCCAAGACACTGAAGAC